ACATGATTCTCTTCAAGTTTTGTACAATGATGTCCTTTTTGCTGGAAAAGGATTGCTGTTATCAGGAGTCAGATCAATTTTTCTGAAGCACTAAAATTACTTTAGATGGTTCATATCCTAAGCATTACATCACACCTAATTTAAAATGCAAAATATACATGCTAGGTTTCTAGCAAGAGCCATTTTTAAAGGCCACGGTCCTGCAACAGAACCTACTGAACACAGCCCACAAGACAGGCTAAGGAGATCTGAGCTGAGATCTCAAGAGGAAAAACTTAATTCTGTTGTCTGTACATCTAAAGTTGGCAGTACCTTATCCACCTCTAACATCACAATGGCTAGAAGGATTATCTTCCAGTAAGCAACTTAGTATTTGATTTATTTCTCCCATGTTCCTGACATTATAAACTGCCATTTCTTAAAAATTCTAAATCTTAAGACCAACTATGCCACATAAAAAACTAAGACACAACTCCTACCACTAGCCAGAGTCTACTCACAGTATAAAAATGTACTCCCAAATCTTTTCCATGCATTTGCTACATAGTCAGTGGCTCTGCATCTTTTCTAACCTAAAAAAATGGAGGAAAAAACAAGAGGACATCCTCTGTACAGTACGTATTTTCTTGGATACTCTGCTATGCACATGGAGAAAGAGTTTTCCGGAATCACTCAGCTCCTTCCTTCTAAAACACAGCTACAGAGTCCGGTAAAGGGATATTCAACAACATGAAACAGGAAAAGAAACTTCAATATATTTACGGGTATATTTTCTGCAGAAAGTAATAAAAAAAAAGCAGTAATTTATGAATATCTTAATATCGTGATCGCTTCCTTCACTGCCACGTGTTTCTGGAACTTAGGCACATGATTTAAGAAGTCTCTCAAGTCCATAGTACAAGACAGAATGCAGTAGCAGCTTATCGTCAGACAACCAGAAAGTAACATCCGAGATATTTTTTTCTATGAAGCTATTTTTGTAATGTGTATCTGGTTGTATTTCCACTCGTGCCGAGTAGGAAACACGAGCAGTAAGAGATCAGAGCCATACAGCAAGATCTTACATAATACTACAATTGTGCAGAAAATTGAGACAAAGCTGGGAGGAGAGAAGGAATTTTACAAAATTACAGCAATTATGTCCAGGCATGGAACTATGGGTCCTAGTGATGAAACAGCAACAGCTTCTGAACACAGAAGAAGGACATATCTTTGCCATCTCTGCGCCAGTTTTACAGAAATAATGTCCAGGGAGAAATGAAGCAGATGTTTGCAAGTTTATAAGTCCACAGGATCAGCTAAGGCAGTGGAATGGCAAGTCACACAAATAAAACACTGAACGGAAGAGTGTGCCAAGAATAAAGCTGCTAAGTCCCTCTTATTGTAAACTGGATTGGTATCTAGAAAAATCATATAGGACACCAGACACAGTTCAGCGCACGTATCTAATGCTGCCTGCCCAGAGCCTCAGCTGCAGACCAGGAATTAACCCTGAAAACCCCATGGTCAGGCTGGCTCCAGGGAAGCAGTAGCTGCTAAAAACAATTCTACTCACCAGAATCTTCTAACACTCATCAGGTTTAATTAATCTAACACTAACACTGTTACCTCCCCTAATTTAAAGGATAACTAATTGTAAGATCAGCAACTCAAGCAGCAGGGTTTTTTTTTTTTTTCCCCCCGATGCTGCTTCACTGTGGCTTGTGAAATCAGTGATGGTTCTGCTCCCTGGGACCACGTGTCAAACCAAAACTACTCCGTTAGAGCTCCCTCCATGATCCATATCCATGTGCAGCTCCTGGAGGGTTTGGGAAGGAACACGAGTGGTTTAACAACAGGGGCAATCATACCTAAGTATTTTTAAAATCACTACCTCCAATTTGATAGTAGTTTCTATAATATTATGGCAGGTATAGTTCTGTATTACCGTCCTCTACTGATCCAGTGACAGGATGACAGCTTGTGATGTACTTATGCTACCGTGTTATCCTGATCTCAACATGCATCCATGACAAAGTACCATTAAAGAAAATCTGTTTTTTTAATTCAAACCACAATGAAACAAGTGGCATAATCAACCCAAATCTTTCTGGTTAGAAAGAGTCACTCAAAAAAGAAGTAAGCCTATTATATGTTATAATAAGAGAGAGGTTAACTAATGAAAGATTGTTTTTTTTACAAGGAATAAATAATAGTGGAAATGCTTCAGACTTTTAGAGGGCCTCACATCAAGCCACTCCAAACCAAATATGTAAAAAAAGAAATTACAAAAACAATTTCCCTTTCATAAATCACGATGATGATACTCTACAATCACTTCAATGCAAATGGATCTAATAAAACCGAGTTAAGAGAACAGACAACAAATAGGATGGCATTCCCTTGCCCCCAAAACAGAAACCCTCTTGTCAAAGAAACCAAAAAAATCAGACCCCGTTTCACAGGCAGCTTTGTAAATCCCACGATGGGGTATTTTACCCTTTTAATAGCATTTATCGCTAATCATGACAGTGCTTGTAACAAGCACTAGCACACTGCTGTCACATCGTATTAGCGACACATTTAGCTGTGAAAAGGGAGTTCTATCGCCTTTCCACACTGCATGATGATGCACCATTTCCTTTAAACACCACCACAGGCCGGAGCCGAAATACCCATACGGATCCCATGCGGGCTGAGCTCTGCCTTACGCGAGCAGCGAGTTCCCCGGTGACTCAGAACGGCGCCTCGCCATCCTGCGGGCCCAGCGCAGCCCTGTCACCCCTCGCTTGGCCGCGCTGAGGAAAAAACACAGGTTTTTCCACTCATTTCCTTTCTCCCACTCACGTCTCCTCACTCAGTTCCTGGTAACCCCACGGCAGCTCTGCCCGTGCCTGGGAAGCGCCTTCCCCGCAACTCCCCGGAGCAGCTCCCCACAGCCCGCCGCGGCCCCCCGCACTTTGCCAGCTCGCGCCCCTTCCCCGGCCTGGCGCGGATCCCCCTCTCCCAGCCCCTCTCCAACTCCTGCCCCCTTCCCACGGGCTCCTACCTCCTGTCCCTGACGGGGGACGCGCAGCTCCGCTCCGCGGCGGGGCGGGAGGCCGGAGGAGGCCGAG